GTTGATTTGACTTGGCCCACGTGTAATATTGGGCCTTTATGAGTATTGGCCCGAGTTTGCCTCAAATCTTGTTGGTTCCTATAGCCCGGCCCAGAGAGCCCATCTGGTTACCTTGGTCAATTTGTTTTTGGGCCTTAGGGATGCTCCCGTTAGTGGTGGTGGCTACCAGATCAAGGAACGTACATGTATCTTCATTGTACCATTTTACCTAGGTTGGGGTCTGCTCCGTTGTTGCTCCGGCCGGTCGATATGCGCGATTTCCCTTGTGTAGTCCTTTTTTGTTCCGCGTGAATGGAACTGTCCGCCATAGAGAGTCTTCGTCTAGGATTGTGCCGTCGCTTGGGGTGGTAGTTGTTGGGTCAATCGGGCTATTGGTTTCATTAGGCTTGGGGAGGAATGAGTAGTATCGTAAGGTATGACCAATTCTCCCACATACCTTTCAGAGTATCCCTTCTCCCTCATATAGGATAGGTAGATTTTGGGTGCCAATGGTAACAGAGATGGTGACGGGGATGTCGAGTGGAACCTGGACATAGATCCAAGCATACCTCCCACTTAGGGTGGAAGAGGTACATATGTTTATTTTTAGTATTTTGCCAATTTATATTGCCCAATTGTTCTAGGATTGCTCTATCATAAAATTCTATTGATAGATGTGGGAGTATGATCCAAATTACCGTAATAGCTAGTTTGAATTCCACTGGAACAAACTTAGGTTCCCACTTTCGTATAGATAGGAAGTGGCACGTCACAAACCAAGGCTCATCTATTATAACTTTGTTCATGCTTTCTTCAAGGTTGAATTTGACAATGAAAAAAATCCCACCCTAGGTCGATTAGTGTTAGGGGTTCAATGGGTTTCCATAATTGTGCAAGCTTTGCTCGCAACAACTGGTGGGGGATTTTCCTCCCAAATAGTTTCACTATTAAGGAGTGTTTCCGGGGACGTACAACTTGTTCTTGTCTTCCTTTGTCAAAAGGATGGGGATATTCCCCGCGTTTAATTCGAACAAGGGGAGAGTGATTTAGTGCATATGATGTGGATGAAATTAAGTTCCTTTCCAGTAGGATCTATTTGAAAGAGTTTTTCTGATGAGTGTCTTCGTCCATCTCAATTTGAGTGACTTTCATAGGGAAGTCGGGCGGTTCAGGTGGGATTTTGGAGGTTGGGTCCTCCGCCGGGAGTGGGGATGTGGCCATTTGGGATGATGTTTGGTTAGAGAGTAGAGAGAGGTATGATTTTTCTCTCTCTAAAATTTTTTCTTGTTGTAATCCGCCGTTCACTCTAATATAAAAACCAACACCTGCCAACAATAAGCTATGAACATCTTCTCTCTTTCATTCTTCACTAATCCATGCTGCACAATCACTACTATTAACAAGCTCTATTAGCTACCACCTCTACCGCTAGCCATAATATTAGAATATCATTGCCTACTAGCACGGTCCCTAGATTTTATATTTCATCAAATAAATATATTACAAATAAATTAAGAATTTTTACGAGTAATATTTTGTAGATACAATATTTAAATTTTTATATTTATGAATGTACAAGAAAAAAGAAATCATATATAATTAGGTGGTGAGAAAATAAACAAACCACATCAATGATTTCATATGAAGGACAGAAGTAGACGCATGAATCAACGATAAAGTTATATTCGTGCGACATATAGATTACAAATTTGAGCCGTGGAAGCAATCATTAATGCTTGCTATTAATATCACACCCTTTGAGTTGCGTCCCTTTTTCGACCATGTGTAAATGACAAATGTTTTGTGCATCGGTTGCTTTTTACATCAAATATTTTGTAATATTTAAAATTAAAAAAATATTTTTAATAATCATTACTTATATATATATATATTTGAATTTAAATACTATCCTAGTTGAAAAAAAAAAACGGCCTTAGAAAACGAGTGAGGGATGATGTATATTCTATTTTTCTTTGACCAGCGAGGGGCGATGTAGTGATCCGCGTTCTGTAAGTACCTCAAAAGTAGTTGAAAATGGCGGCTCTGCTAAACAACTCCTCTTTCATTGGTAAAAGCATTTAAAACCAGATAAATTCTCCCCTCCCTTTTACTACGAGGAAATATCTCTTGTATTTCTTCTGCTCACCCCCACCACTTCCTCTCCATTAATGCCAATCATCACTGCTCCTTAATACATATCTACATAAATAATCACTACAGTCTACAGCTAATGTATTCATACTGTTGATTTTTTTTAAAAAAGAAAAGAAAATGGGGCATCACCATAACAACCACCATAGCCACCACCACAGCACCGCCACAGATGGCGTTCCGCAGCGGGTCAACAGCCCACGATTTTCGGGTCCAATGACTCGAAGAGCCCACTCTTTCAAACGCAACAATACTAACCAAACTACGCAAAATACAAGTAGTACCAGCAGCACTACTGGTAGTACTACTTTGAATACTCATCATGAGATTGATGTACTCAACTCACCCAGATCTGAAACAACAAATTCGAATCTTGCTGCTGATGGGTATGAGATTTTAGTGGAAAAGAAGCAAACCCATTTGAGTAATGTTATTCAAAGGGTGCATTTGAGGAAAAAGTTGGAATCTTTGAGTGTGGATTTTGGTTTTGGATTGGAATTGAAAGGGAGGAGGAAGTTGGGCCACTGGATGTTTCTGGTGTTTTGTGGGATGTGCTTGTTTTTGGGTGTTCTTAAGTTTTGTGCTTATGGATGGTTTGGATCTGCTATTGATAGAGTTGCGTATAGTCAGGTTAATTTTTAGTTCTACAAATGAATTTCTTGACTCCCATGGGTTAAATTGCTGGAGCATATTCATTTGTTTTTTCTTCAAATCTGGTTTTATTTTGTTTGCCCTTAGGATCAATTGGAGTTTAATATTTAGTACTTAGTTTTGGATGATTAAATATGTGTTTACTTTCTGTTATTGTGGAGGCATTGTTTCTTAGTAGTGGTCAATCTTTTTCTATGGTTTGTTTCTCTTTATATGATGATGACAAGAATTGAGCTTAAATGGAGAAACATGGAGCTTATTTAGAGAAACATGGTCAGTAGCTGCCCCAGGGACTGAGGCCTAGTTATTGTTGTTGCTGTTTCTCTTTATAGTATGCTGTCCGGATGCTTGCCTTTGGTAAAACTTCAATTTAGTTGGTGTTTCATAGAATATCTTCTGAACATATCCATTGAATGATTCCCACTTATTTTAACAGCAAAGATGTGGCACTATGATATTTATTCTGCTTTGAAGAGAATTTCCAGAAGAGTGATAAAATAGAAGTATCAGGCTCTAGGTGAAGCATATACAACAAAGCATATATTACATAGAGAATGAACAAAATGTTGAAATAGGCAGGTAGAATTGGGTTGTTTTAGATTTTGACCATGAGTTTCTTTATTAGCCAGGTCTCTTAGTTATGAAACGCTGTTCTGCACTATTATGTCAATACTATTGCATCAGTGAAGTTATGTTTTTTAAACTGTTCGACATTGTGTAATAGGATTCATATGACTCACTGGTCAGTCAGCAAAATCTAAGGGATCAAAGCTCGCATGCCTATAGAAATATGGATGGAGATATCGAAAATGGTGGAGAACGGAATCATGTGGAACAGACTCTAAGTATGGTTGCATCAGGCGTGGTTGGTAACCATAACAACATCTTAGATGTAAGTCATATCACAAATCTTCCGTATTGTTAAGACTGAATGTACTAGAGAAAGCATCACCAAATGTTGTTTTCTTTTCCTTTTTCAGTATTCAGAAATATGGTTGAAACCTAATAGTGAAAATTTCACTCAATGCATTGAGCGGACAAAGAGTCAGAAACGTAAACTTCTGAACCATTAAGATTCATTTTTATCCTGCCTCCTAACTTTTTATACCTTTCCCTCATCCTTTTTGCTTTCTTTGGCAGTGGTTGATGCAAAGACAAATGGTTACCTTCTGATAAATGCAAATGGTGGCTTAAATCAAATGAGATTTGGGGTCTGGTTATAGTTTTCATGCTTCAGTTCCTTTTGTTAAATATTCCTATCATCTCCATCTGATAAACAAATAATTCTAGAATGCAGATCTGTGATATGGTAGCTGTTGCTAAAATCATGAAGGCAACTCTTGTGCTTCCATCTCTTGATCATACATCCTACTGGGCAGATGAAAGGTACTCTGCTTCTATCACCTCTTTGGATTCACATTCATAAGATCATCACTACCACTTTTGAAATGGTTATTTTGCTCTGAGTTTTGATATGGCAAAAGTTTTGGAAGATACCCACCACACACAGCACATATTGTAGTATGAATATCCAAAATTACCTGTGTTGGATTGTTTGTTCTTAGTTTCTCACTTTATTGATAAAGCTTAGTTTCTCCCTTAAATGGTTGGTGACGGTCCCAAGTTGAAATACTTGCGTGCTAACAAGTTCATGCCTCTAGCTTTAATCGAAAATTATTCGAGATCTAACTAGGAGAACAAAAGAAAAACATCAAAGTTTAAATGAAGAAAAAAGAAGAAAATAGCTCTTTTGTGGACTCCTATTTTGGCATGACATCAAAAGCATAAAAAGGTGTATGGGGTAGCTGGAGCCCCTTTACAGTTTGCGGAAGTCCTGTTATAGACATGAAGTTTCTTCCCTTATTCTCGAAGTTATTGCAAATCATTTATGGAGAAATAAGCAAGAATGAGTGAATCCACTGTCTGGCCAATGGTATTTAAGAGAATCTCGTTAGGTTAACCACATAGTAGTAGTCGATCCGTTTTTACAAGCCTATAACCAATATACAAATGAGGAAAATGTTCTTCATCCACATTGTAATCTGGTATTTACTGTTAAATTAACAAATTTTGACTGGGGATGCTATCCTTTATAGCAACTTTTCTTGACAGATATTACACTACTGTGGTCACCAGTAGAGAAAAAGTGGTTGCCACTTGATGAATGGAAGCATGGGTCAGTGGTTGAGACTGATAAATCTGTTTAGGATGTGTGTTAAGTATCTAGAGCTAGATGGCATGATTTATGAAGGATGCAATGATGGAAGATCTGGCTTCAAAGGGAGATGGTAAAGAATGAGTCTAGTACTCAATTTGCTTATAGGTTCATGTGTCTAGAAATTAGTTGGCTAGTAATGATGGTGCATAGGAAACCTTGAAACAAAGCTACTAAGAAATAAATAAAAATTACTCATCACCGTTTCAATTTCAAAGGATCTCCTTTAAGACACAAGGCATTGAGGAAGTTCATCCTTAGGCTACAAAATAGGCAGTTACTTTTCTTTTCGTTTTTCTGTTAGTTAACAACTATGTATGCAGGGGTGTATACATTGTGTGTGTGGATCTATATTTTAAGGCAGTTAGAGTTGAAGGTCAGACCACCTTAACTTATGAAGCAAAATCACCATCTGCAGTCTGCTTCAGCTCTTCTCGGAATAGCCAACATAGCTGAAAAGTTAAAACACTTGAATATAGCATTCTAAACTTGGCAAATCAGTAGCAATGGAAAAATGCAGGTTTTTTATATGTTAATAAAAGCAACTGTGCGTACTTGTAATTAAAGATTGTCCATCTTATATCTTCTTAAAGATTGCTTTTCCACTTTAATTTGTGTTTAGAGATGTACAACCTCCCTCCCCTTCTCTCTCTATCAATTCTCCCGTTGAATTATGTGAACTGTCTCATCCAAAAGTTTAATTTATTAAAGAGGAGATACTTTTTTTAATTTTAGGTTTACAACACATTCCCTCACATGCATGTTTGATTATATGTTTTTTCCTTTATTTGTGGCAAGCATGTGAGATATTTTGTTCTGGGGTGGCACTGAGAATGGAACCATGAACTTTACTTTCTTTAATACTATTTAAACCTGTATGAATCACCTTATCAAAAATCGCAAACTGGTAGAGATGGAAGAACTTAATATATTTATTTTAGGCTTCTGCTTTATGCATCCTATATCCGAAACACACTGGTCTGACATTCACACTGCGTAGGGTCACTAAAGGGGGAGGCGCTTCATACCAGGAGTTTCTCCATCCTCAAAGGCTCAAACCTAATATCTCTGGTTAAGGGTCAACACATCCATCCCACCAAATTCCTTGGTGTTGTTTTCTAAATTTAAATATAGACAACTAGCATTCTCCTCTCTTGCAATCACCAACAATAGAATAACAAAGGGCTTACGATTGTTCTATTTTCAGATGCTTTATCTATAACTCATGTTTAATTCAAGTCATCATATAGATGTTCTTCTTGACTTGGCTCCCCTTAATCTCTTCCATTATTTCCTCGATGCAGTGGCTTCAAAGATCTTTTTGACTGGAAGCACTTCATTGAAACTCTGAAGGATGACATCCACATTGTCGAGACATTACCACCAGAATTTGCTGGAACTGAGCCTTTTAACAAAACACCAATATCTTGGTCTAAGGTGAAGTCCTTAACTGATTGATTGATCCAATAATAGGTTCAAGAATAAGGGCTCTAATGAGTGTGTGTGTATTTTTAACATGGTTGTGGGTACTCCTTTGAGTGAACCGTGAAACTAACATTGAATTTGAAAATTATTGTGTGGTGATGAGTAATTGAGTATCATGCCATACTTACATACTTCACTTATTTGATCAGGTTAGTTATTATAAATCAGAGGTCCTCCCTCTTTTGAAGCAGCACAAAGTAATGTATTTTACTCATACTGATTCTCGGATAGCCAACAATGGGATTCCCTATTCTATTCAGAAGCTGAGATGCCGTGTAAATTACCAAGCACTAAAATACTCTGCGCCGATAGAAAATTTGGGAAGGATTCTGGTTTCAAGGATGCGACAAGATGGAAGTCCTTATCTTGCTCTCCATTTAAGGTCAGTTTCGGTGGTTATCTCTTTCTCACAGCTGTTAGAGCTATAGCGACATACAGCTCTTTTGTTGTTCGTCCACTGCTTTAATTAATGCGAGGGTCTAAAATGAATATAGTGCAAGTCAAACATCCCTAAGGATGAAGAAGAGAATGAGGACAAAAATTTTGATGCCACTTTTCATTTGAATGATCAGGCCAATTGATGTAGCCAGACATGCCGTTTATTGCAATAGCTCTGTTTTAAAAAATGGCAATTAAACCACGGCATGTATGTATTCTTATGTAGCATGCACTTGTATACTCTCTCTAGACCACTGTAAATGAACCAGGCCAAAAGTTCTATAAAATTTTGAGGTCATTATTTTTGCAGGGTCAGTATTTATTAGTTGCTTTAATTGGATACCGCTATCTAAGCTTTTCTTTCTAATCTTGTATGCCTTTTGCACTCTTAAAGCAACGACTGTGACTGTATATTTTGAAAGAAGGTGACTGCAAAGTTGTAAAATAAGATAAATGCAGTTAGATTTGTTTCTCAAGTACCATGATGGTTTTATAAAGTCAAATCGGTTGGTGAGTGCACAAATTTTAGTGCTGATTAGCTGAAGCATTTGCTATCAAGTTTTTCTTTTCCTGCTTGAACTGTTCTTTCTGTACCCTTTTCACGTAATCAGTTAACTATGCTACTTGCAGGTATGAGAAGGATATGCTTGCTTTTACAGGCTGCAGTCATAATTTGACAGCTGAAGAGGATGAAGAACTCCGTAGGATGCGCTATGAGGTCGGGCATTGGAAAGAAAAGGAAATTGATGGTGCAGAAAAAAGAAAGCTTGGTGGTTGCCCTTTGACCCCGAGGGAGACTGCCCTTCTGCTTAAGGGTCTGGGATTCCCGTCGAGCACCAGGATTTACATGGTGGCTGGTGAAGCTTATGGGAACGGAAGCATGGAACCTCTTCTGGATAATTTCCCAAACATCTTTTCCCATTCAACTCTTTCAACGGAGGAGGAATTGAATCCTTTTGAGCATCACCAAAATATGCTGGCTGGTTTGGACTATGTTGTTGCTCTTCAGAGTGATGTTTTCCTTTACACCTACGATGGAAATATGGCTAAGGCAGTGCAAGGTCATAGGCGCTTTGAAAACTTTAAGAAAACTATTAGTCCAGACAGGTAATTAGTTATTCTTGCTATCTTCCTATCCCTATCTAACAATGACAGATTTTATTTTTCTCAAACTATGAGAATGCAATATTCCCAAGTTGAAGTTATTTTTTCGACCTAACTCAATCATCCTATTTGCAGGATGAATTTTGTGAAGCTAGTTGATGAACTTGATAATGGTAAGATTTCGTGGGAGAAATTCAGCTCCAAAGTAAAAAAGCTTCATGAGCCTCGTGCTGGTGCTCCTTACACGAGGGAGCCAGGTGAATTTCCGAAGCTGGAAGAGAGCTTTTATGCGAATCCCTTTCCTGGCTGTATATGCGAGAAAACATATAGATAGTAAAGCAGCTTGAGAATCAAGTATTTAGTTTCTTGATCTCCTAGGAGTTCAGTCTGGGAAACCATGGGAGGTATTGCTATGAATATGGTTCGAGAGCATGCGGATTGAGTCTTTTCTAAAGAATTCATCTCACTGGGATAGAAGTTGTCGCTGTTTAGGAATGGGTGACATGTATATATGCAGCAGACCAACGAGGTCAAGTTCAGCGATTTGCTGCTGGTGCAGAGTCAAGTATACCTTTCAACCATACAAAGGCATTAGTCATTTTTATTGATCGGACGTTTTCCATGATACATTCTTGGCAAGGGAGGTTGGAGCTGCCAATATCCAGATATGGCAGTATATGCACCCTGCAAAGTCCAAATTATAGATTTGTAGGTGGTTGATATAGACTATTGTTTCTTGAGATACAAATGACCACATTATATTGTTAAATTTTACAGCATCTTTTTTATGGGCCTCTTGAATATCTCACTTTATAAAACGTGTCCGATTGACAATTTTGGGGTTAATTTGAGGGATGGTCACTTAACTTTCATTTTATTTCAATAAAGTAGCTAAACTATTTTTGTACTGAAAAAGTCACTCAACTTTACTTAAGTATCCCGAAGACGAAAGCCGCTAGACAATTTTCTTGTTATAAAAAGATTAAAACTTTGCTTAAGTTAACAAAAAGTCACACAGACGAGAGCGCTATTAAAGGGAAAAAAAAATTGCAACTACACAGAATTGGAAAGAGCAAGCCAGTTGTGTTTTCTAAAATTTAAGGTTTGCAGTAAGCGCAGAGTGAAAGAACCTTTCTCTGCTGTTTTAAGGCCCGAGTAAAGGCATATATGTCGAACGGATTCACAATAAAAAAAGTCGATTGAAAAACATAGGGGGGGCTTACTCGTGACGATGTCGGACAGAGTGTAATAGAAAGATGTTTGGGGGAGTGACTATAAGTTCGAAGGCTTTTGTCTTATTCGAGTGAGGATGTGAATAAGTAGAAAAAGAAATAATTAAGTTTTGAACTTACCTTCTCTGGATGGAAGGGTGATCGGGTTAAGTGATATGCGAAAAGCGATATGCTTTACACATCCGTGAGTCTAAAATTTGGTAATTTCACGAATAGTCACTTACACCAAAGTCGCTATATAATTTTTGTAACGAAAAAATCACTTAACTTTGCCTAAATTATTATGTAAAGTTACTAGGAGGAAACAAATGGTCAATACTCAATTGTAAGTGCAGTAAAAAGGAACTCACATTGCATTATCCATAGCTTGGAAAGCTCAGTTAACCTCCAAATTTCAAATATAACAAAATCCAGTGGACTAGCATTGCCTTTCATCAAATGAACTATTTGAGCTAAGATATAAAATATGCCATTTCCTTTACAGTAACACACTTTTGTAGAATAGCTTAATCAATTACAGAGAGTGCTAGCAACATCTATAAGGCACTACAATTCCATATCAAACAATGAAATTCTTATAAATGAAGTAAATTCTGGAACAGGTTACCACACTTTTTGGGTTTCCCATCCATCAACACAACCATCTTCTCTCCACTCAAACTAATCAATGAATCATTGAAAGAAAGAAAAAAGAAAGTAGAAAATGAATTACAGCACGGCGCTAAAGCTGCAGAATAGACTCAACAAGCTCATAGAGAGGTGCTAGTTCTGCCTTGTCAATTAAGCGGAATTCCTGTATTAAGCAAGATCTAAGTTAGAACTTTAGTTTTCCTCAATCACTCAACATTGGTCACATTCTACTTTTAGAGATATGATGCGCGATAAATTCATGAAATGCATTAAATGAATAACATGAAATGTACTATAAACTCACCCATGTGAACAGAACAAAGTGCTTAAAGCAAGTGTTCATATGAGCTTCTTCCTTTAGACTGATAATCTTTTGGAAATGTGAATGATAGATATGAGCATATACACGAAATAATCGCTTAAATATTGTCTTCACCACATCCTGAAAATTAGATGGAAACGGTGTACCTGTAGCATAGAATTGATCAGACAGAGAACTGGAAATCTTGATCGGAGTATTATGCACATCATAAAGAGAAATTACTCACCCAAATTTTGGGGAAAAGTTGATTCATCATCTAGCTGAGTTTCTATCCAACTCATCAAATAATCCACATATTTTGGAGCAGAAACTTCTATGGGTTTCTTTATATTAACTCCATCAGCCCAACGATACTCGTACCTGCCAAAAGTTATATACCAAAAATTTATCAATCACGCCACAATTAGAAAATATTTCATTGGAATTTCTATTTAATTCATGAGAGGTTAGAGTTACACAAGTTGATCCAGTAAGACAATGTGGTTATGGTGTGATCAACCATTCTCTGGCATAAGTTATGTACAATTTAGAATGGTTGCCAGAGTAGAAATGCTGCTTGAAGAGGTGCACTTCACTCATATTTACTCGAACAGTTTTGATATATATGCAGGGAGTGATGAAGCATCTTTTACCGCATAAAACATAAACCAAGATAATGTAATGTCAAATGTGTTGGTCAAATGATGAGGAAAGCTCAAGGGCGCTAAATTATTGGCATCATATTTTCATTCTGTGGCTGCTTTGCAGTATGTTCCATCATATTACAGTTCTCCAAAGGAAGTCATTCTACTGATAGATTCTCTGTACATATAGAAACAACGACTTAGCATCTCGCCGGTAGAAATTGAAAAAAAGATTGGAGCATGACCTCTGTCGATCACTACAATCCTATGGATAGGAGGTTGTCTAATTGTTAGACTTTGTTGGTTGGGGAAACATTGCAACATCTGAACATCCTATCACTTTCAGAGAAGTTGAGAACTTGAAATAACAGATAGGTGCTAAAGTTTCTGGGACAATAATCCCAAACAAATATAGCAGTTAGGAATGGCAAGAAATGGACGACTTTTCATGTTTTATCGTTATACAACAACAACAACAACCCAGTAGAATCCTACTAGTGGGGTCTGGGGAGGGTAGAATGTACGCAGACCTTACCCCTACCCCGAAGGAATAGAGAGGCTGTTTCCGGGAGACCCTCGACTCTGAGACTATTGATCCGAAACCCCAACAGAAACCAGAAAAATAGTATCAGCATCATAAAATACAACAAATAAATGGAAAGGCCAAAATGTGAAAAAAAAGAAAGAAAAGAAAGTGAAACACAACAAAAACCGCTAGCAGTCCTAGACGAAACACTATCAGACTAGCCGGCGCAGCGAGGAGAAACGCTCGACTACCCCCTAACCTACAACCCTAATGCTCGACCTCCACACCTTCCTATCAAGGGCAATGTCCTCGAAAATATGAAGTTGCGCTATGTCCTGCCTGATCACCTCGCCCCAGTACTTCTTAGGCCGCCCTCTACCTCTTCTCGTAACTGCTAGAGCCAAACGCTCACACCTCCTAACCGGAGCATCTAGGCTCCTCCTCCGCATGTGCCCGAATCACCTAAGCCTCGCTTCCCGCATCTTGTCATCCACGGGAGCCATGCCCACCCCTTCCGAATATCCTCATTCCTAATCTTATCCATCCTAGTGTGCCCGCACATCCATCTCAACATCCTCATTTCTGCTACTTTCATCTTCTGGATATGTGAAATCTTGGTTGGCCAACATTCAACCCCATACAACATGGCCGGTCATGTGATTTATACCTAGAGTGATTTAGTCCTCTTTAACTCCATTCTAAACAAAATAGATTCGATTATGATCACAAAAGTTGTGGTGAAACATATCTGTAATGGCAACATAAGTACTAAATAATAAAGAGGATCTACCACAAAGTGAACAGATTGAGAAACCTACTTTGGCCCTGCAGACATTGTTGGACAGCTTGATGAGGTGCAGAATTCTGTGAGAGTGCCATACAATATATTCACTTGGTTGAAAAAGTCAACAGCTGTAGGAAAAAGAGAAAGATAAGAAGTTAGGATCAATAGAAGGGTGCTTAAGATATTCAGGAATCATCATATGGATGTATCCAAAACATTTCGATTGGTATAACAACAACAACAACAACAAAAAACCCAGTGTAATCTCACAAATAGGGGTCTAAGGAGGGTAGTGTTTACGCAGCCTTAGTCCTACCTTGTGCAGGTAGAGAGACTGTTTCCGGTAGACACTCGGCAAGCATCCAAATCACAACAGTATAGAGAAGAAATACAGTATTGTAAAAGTCAACAAGGAGATATTATGAGAAGCCTATGTCAAATTATCCACCTGAAATTAGTTATACCCTGATTGGATTTAAGCGACAGACACATCTGCCAACTGCCATCAAAATAGCAATAGAAGCTAATTTGCAAGGATATTTATAGGTGTATCTTAATTAGTACAAATGGAAAACTTACTATTTACAGCCAGCCACTCATGTAGATCTTCTCCAGGCGGTAGCCGTACTGCTTCCCTCAAATTCCCACTACCCAAAGTAGCATCTATGTGTTTTTTGAGCTGCGCGCCCTGCATTGTGATAAAGGAAGCAAATCACAACAGCAATAATAAACAAATATCATTATGATTTATCAGTTGGATTACTCATTAATTAGCTGTTGCAAAGTAGTGTCTTTGGTTATTAAACTAAGAACAGATTGATAAAGGAGGTGAAAATGTTATAGGAACAGACACATCATTGAACTATTAAACTCAAAATTCTAACCTTGCTTCCTGATGGAGCATTCTTTTTAGGACGAAAAGTCTTCTGGTTTCTGAAATAATAACCATAATTTATCCAGTAAGTGGGAAAACGAAAGAAACACATTAGTTCTGCTATTAGCCACAGAACCAAAATGGGGACATGCAAAAAGATTGAGAATATTAAAGACTGATCCTTTCTAATGAATGGAAGGCCTATTCCATTACTAGGACACAGACAATTCACAAATTGTAAATCCAAACAGTGTATAATTAACTTCCTAACAACAACAAACAGTAATAGATTAACAAACACAGAAAGTAAAAGATCATTCAAAATTAAATTGTTGTAGTATATACCTGCTTCCAAGGCCAAAAAGACTCATGATTTTTTGGCTAGAGACAATTGAGTAATGAAGATTGGTCTAAATAAGGAAAAAGGGTGAAGGCTTTTATACAATATGTGTTGTAGTACTAGTCATTATCATCATATTATATGGAGTATAAAAAACGAGAAAAAAGTGTATAATGAGTAATGAGTATATTACAGACTGGCAATGGAGAGGTCAAGAAGGATACAAAGACTCCTTCTCCCCTCTCTTTCCCAAATATCTCTCTCTGTTAAATATACACACAATATATACTAATATATATATATATATATATATATAGGAATGTGAACAAATAGCATAGGCCAAGAAGCCAGGTCGTCTTCTTTCTTTTCCATCGCCATGTCTAGCTGGCTGTCTCATTGTCTTTCTTTGCTGTTAATTTAAGCCCAAACCCGCCCAACCCGTCGCTCATTGACCCGTTCATTGAACTCGGCTCATCTTGACTAGCTCATCTCAACACATTTTAACTTGAACTAATTTTTAGTCCAAATTGATTCATAAGCA